TCTATCTATCTATCTATCTATCTATCTATCTATCTATCTATCTATCTTTGAGGCTTACAGAAAAAATAAAGAATAGTTTCTGCTGTATTTAGTTAACTTGTAATTTCTATGGACATTCTTATGTGTGCTGAATCTTTTCATTGTTTTTAAATTTGTTTAAGACTAAAATAAATATATTCAAAGACTAATACATTTTCCTACCATTTATAAATAATACGTTGTATATTGAAGCATAGTGTTGTTGTTTTTTAAGGGGTTGCAGTGGGAATGAAAAGACCACAGTGCAGAGAATTACCAAACACCAAGCTGATGCTCAAGCTTGACTATAATTTAGGCCTTTGTTCCTTCTTAGTAGGGCCTAATAGTTTAAAAGGAAATCCCTCAGGGTAGGGGTGGTCATCTTGTCAGCGTGTATACTCACAGGTCTGTGGGATGGTACAGAAACATGCCCGAGCACGGCTGCAACTCAAACCATCTATGGCAAAGCCAGCAATTGTCAGCTTTGAAGCAGATGGTGTGCTGAGAGCACAAAAGAGTGACAGCTGTCATTCAGATGAGATGGCACTGAACCTCTAAAGTGAAATTTGGTTTAATGACTGTAAGCTGGACAGAGCAAAGTTCCAACATCTAAAAATTTAAAAGGAATACTCTTTGATCTTTCTGAATAGGAGAGGGATTGATCTAATTTTATGTACCAAGTTGTTTGGTCTGCTTCTGACCAAATTATAAAAAATTGATTAAACATTACACCTGTTATATGTTGCATCTGTATTAATTATTGTATTCTCATGATTAGGACTTGTTGTACTCTTTAAGATTTATTCAAGAAAGCATTAAGATACAAACATTAAGTGGATTAAATAAATTCACATTCAAAAGAATTCCATGATTTTAGTTCAATTTGAGGTCGCATTCAAAGCTTTTGGAAGAAGCACAATCTGTGCGTGCATTTTAAAAAAAGACAGACTTTCAAAAATGTATTTAAAAAGCCAGCTTCAGCACAAAATTGATAATCTAATTATTTCACCATTTATTGCTCAGAGTTAGTTGACTTTATTGTCATGTATGGTTTTGTCTTTCCTGCAAAGTTAGGAACAGTTTCCCTAGTTTAAGCAGTCACCAAGCCAGACAAAAAGGTGTTACTGATGACTGTGTCCACCAATTTAAGCTATTGAGCACTGCCCCCAATTCACCTTCTTTCTAAACTTTATGGCTATAATTGCCATAAAGCTTCGACTCAATCCTACCAGCCCCCATCAGCCTTTCTTGAGTGCTTTGTAAGATGTTCAATATTCCTATTGTACTGTACTTTCTTTTCTCTTACAAGTACCTCCATGGATAGTTCGTTCACTAAAAGGTCAGAGTTCATCATGTTAGTGGTCTTGAGGCTCTGAGTGAAGCATTCAGTCTGTACCACTTCATGTCCAACTTGTACAACTGCTGCTTATGTGCCAAAACAATAAAAACATCCATCAATGTCCTCCCTTGTCTATGTGGGGTGGGTATGACTGATGATGTGGATGGCGCATTGATGCACTTCAGGGCAGGGGACTGCGTGAATGTTTGTTTATGTCAAGCGGGAATTTGTCAAAAGGTTTATGTCATTGCTGGCATCAGGCTCCTCAAGCTTTTACTGGGTGGTCTTTGTCTGTTTGCATGCGTAAAGAGCTTCGTTCTCACTCTCATTTGTCCCCTATTGATTCTCTAAATTAGGTTGATGAGAGGCCCTCCTATCAGGTGGCATATTAATTGGGTCAGGCAGGATCTTATATGAAATCCAAATAATGGCAAAGCAAACGACAACACTAAACCTTTGTCCTCTGAGCGCTCCCTTTCACCAATTAGCCTCACAGTGATTCTGTTTCTTGCCACCTCTGCTGCCTGTTTTCCAAGAAAAAGATGTCATCAGTGGCTTATGTAAGTACATATGTATGTATGCTTTTCAAGATCACCAACTTTGGAAATAGAATAGAATTAGAATATCCATCTATTCCACTATTTGTTTGTCTTATCTTTGAAATGTGGATTAAAACAGCCATGTATAAAAATGTAGGTATTCACAAGATGGGTTCTGTTTTCCTTATTTTTGCACTTGAAATTCTCATAATCAAGTACTAAGTTTCTTATAATATCTTAAGAGAAAATCACATACAATTTCGACCTAATGATGCTATACAAAATACCCTTTAATAAAAGAAAAAATAACAATAAATCTTTATTTTAATTGCAAACAATTTCAACATAAAATAATCACCTCATTTACTGGAATTAACTCAGTTAAATAACAATGGGTTTACTCAGCATCAGGATGGCTATAGAGAGACCAGGTTATAAACACCCACCAACCCACCAGAGGTAAATTAATTTGTAAGATGAGGAGAACCAGTGGAGAATTGAGCTGATGTGCTGATATGTTACCAAAATGAGCATATCTTGTTAACAGAATTGTGATGTTCCTGAGGCTGACGGCAATGGTGAATTGAATGCTCGACCTTAGGAAACTGGATTAGCAAATAATTATTCCCACTTCTACATCCCATCTGGTTGATTATGTTTCTGTCAGAAGTGAGTGACACACATGGTCACAGCAGAAAGAGCTTCCTTCAGTAAAGTCATATGAAAAACAAATTCATGATTCTTTTTATGAAAACTGTTCCAAAGGCATTTTTCTCAGTAGCTGTACTTATGTTTCAGACACTAATTAAACAATTAATATTTCATCCTATTCTGGCTGTTAAAAATAGTGTTTAAAGAAAGTCAGAAACAGGAAAACATAAAGAATTGGCACAAATATCAGTTTGAAAGTTATCAGGTTGCCAAGTCATGATATCCAGAGGGGTGAAGGGCTGGTGCGCGGGTGAGTTACTGATGTTAATCCTTAATCTCTCGTGTAGTCTTGACAGACACAACTAAAGATAGTGAGTGTTAAACAGGACATGTAACAAAATATAAAGCTCCAAATCACCAAACCTTCTTAGGGAGGCTGACCACTGTGATTGACATCCTATTGACTTTCCATCTTCTAAAGAATGGGAACCACCACCCCTGACTGCTACTCCACAGGCGTTGACACAGAACTTTATGCGACATTGATGAGGTGTCAGCCATGACAGCACTATAATACCCAGAACCTTAAACTCCTCAGGGCAAATCTCTGTCCAGTCACAGCACATTACTGCTGCAAAAGCAGGTCAGCAGTTCTCCACCCAGGCTTAGAAGAACGTGGAATGGCCCCTGTTTTCACTTTCTGAGTTGTCAAATGATTTGCCAGAACAGCCTTGAGGTCAGACAACATTTCTTCGCTATGGCTCCACCAATTTACTCCTACACCCAAGTTTTAGCTTCGGCAACCTGTCAGCTACATCAGGTAGCCTCAACCGTCACCAACGACTAGATCCAATGTGTGAGTGTCTTTCCCACCAGTGGTTTAAACACACTGCTGGGCAGTGATCACAATTGACGTCTCTGCCCTTTTCTTTACAAAAATATCTATGACACACAGCTACAGGTCTGACAGTTCGACTACACAGTCAATCAACAACCATTAGCATAAAGTGACCAAGTACGAAATACACTGCTGAACCATCTTATACTACAACATATTGATCAGAAGTCCAACAAGAAACCATGGTTGAATTTGATCAGCCTGTGTCTCCTAATCACCTTCTGTCTGTGGTTGAATCTTACTAACAGTAGTAAACAATGATGCTTTGGTAGCTCAGTTCCAATGTAGACATTTTCATATGGAGATTCGCCAATATGGCTTCAGTTCCAAAATTCATAAAGTTAGAATTGATTGGTCTGGTGCATGTTCTCTTCTCAAAGTTATTATCTTGTCTTAGTATCGAGACACTAGAGGCTTGGTACATGTGGTCAAGATCCCAACAGTTTTTTCCAAGTTTTCATACATTCATGTTAGGCTAGTTAGTCCTTAAACTGCTAACCTTGTGATGGACTTGCAATCTGGTTAGTATGTAACCAGCATTCTAAGAGAATACAGATGGAGAAAATATTGGCACAAAATTATACTCTCAAGAAAGAAAGGTTTTGATCTTTGTTTAAAATAGAAAAAGTCATTAATAAAAAATCCTCTTACACTCACTTTAGTATATTTAGGGATTTTATCACTATAGTCCTAGTCGTTTTTCCACCGTCACTCATTTACTATACAGTCATTTTAATGTGCACCATTTTATTTGAATGTCTGACATCTGAGTGGATGGATTGAAAAGAAATGTTTCGCTAACAAGCTGACAACACAACACACTGCCTTGTATACACACAAAATTTAGGACTATTCTACATTTGTCCATGACAACACAAATATTATGACCACAGCAGTGAGTTACATCCCATAAACAATAAAGGAAAATCAAAAAAACACAAACCCCATAAGCTAAATAAATGATTTATTGTACAAAAGAAAAATGACAGTAAATAAACAACAAAAGGCAAAAATAATCATACAGTTATTTAAATGCACAACAATTAGACTACAAAGTTGGGGTGATTTTTTTCTTTTTTTCTACACAAAGAGCAGAGGAATGAAAAGGGAAAGAGATAAACGTTAGAAGCGGTGAACCTGTCCAAAACATCATAAAGGTTAACATTTGGGTATGTATTGACAATGATATTTTTACTCTCATATATTTATATGAAAAAACTCTCACACACACCAGTATACAAACACGAAAATTCAAAATACAACTTCTCAACAGCTTAAACCATAGTAGACAAAGATGTGGGCACAGCTAATAATTTCTTTTGACCACACATGACCAGAGCCGCTACCATCAGTCATACTGTCAATAACTCAATCTGAACCTGAGAGCAAGGGGACCCTGTGGTTTTCATCTACATTTTTGGAAGGGGGTGGCTCTTATGAGTAAAATGTTCGCATTGATCAACTCCTAACATCTTTTTAAAAGCAAATATTTTAGAAGGCTTAAGTGAGGTAGACAGACTTTCAAATGCATTGTAATTAAAATTAATAAATAACAACAGACCTGTGGAATTAATTTTTTTCCAACCACTTCCCCATAGCCACCTTTTTCTCCCTTTGAAATGTTCCAGCATATTCCTGCAATCAGAAAGTTTACAGCTTGTCTTCCTCTACTTTGGCTAACAATCCCTGGATATTCCTCCCATTCTTACATGGGTGCTCTCACTTAAAATACACATAAAGGCAAAGACACATCTACACAAGACAGTCGACACATTGTTTAAGTCATGGATGCCATCTCTTGAACATGTTAACAGATTGAAGTGGTGGGCCATTTCCAGTTAAAGCATTCTATGTTTATATATCCATACATGTGTTACATTATGAGTTATTACCCAAAATGGGCATGGAGGCCTTTCAGGCCACTGTTATAGTATGTCCAGGTTCCAGACTGGTTTGAAGTGTGCGGGTGTATGGACAGGCCCCCGCTTCAGTCAGAAAAGTCAGAAAAGTGTGATGGTATCGAAAAAAAGTGATAAATTCCCTAGTTTATGGTTTATCACCACAAGCTTGAATTTTTTTGTTCTTTTTTTACTTTTGCCTTTTTAATCCTATACTGTACAAGCTCTCTTGTGCTTGGTAAAACACAAACAACACTTTACCTCCTCACGCCATGAACATCCCATAGTGCAAAATTTATTGTTGGTAAGGTAGAGTGCCCCAAAAAAGGTTTTGTATCCCTTTTAATATATACATATATCATTTATATATAATGTCAGAAGGCTCTCACTTTATCCAACAGCATAGTGCTTTCGTTTATAACAAAAGGATATCTTTGCATCCAGGAGACAAAGACAAGCTTCGAGCATACTAATCTACTCTGTGTTCAAGCACTAACAATATTTTCTCCATTATGACAGATGATACAGATGAAGCTGAGGTGGATGGGGGCATTTCGAAATGCAATCAATAATGCTCTCTAAACTAATGTCAGTTACATAGTCTTGATTTTTTTTTGCTCGTTTTTATTTTTTGCACATGGTTGTGTGTTGTGAGTTATGAAAGCTATTATTTAGAACATTACTGCCCTTTTGTTCTTTTGTATTTTCTTTTCTAATTTCTGAAACTACCGTTGAGTAAAAGTGAGTGAACTGGCTTGACAGAAGTACTGTAGATGCTGCTATATTTTAAATTATGTTTTTCTTTTTCTTTTTTCAACAACAGAAATATGTAAACCTCTAGAGATAACCATGATTTGTGCTACTTTCATTTCGTCAGTGTGTGAGCATAAGGACGCCCTTGCGTGTGGTTATTTTAGGGTAGAGATAATGTTTTTTCTTTGTTTTTACTAGTCTTGAGCCCCTTTGAGTTCTGAAATGCAGTGCATTTACATCTCATTTTAAACCTTTACTGCAATCGTAGAACTTATGTTATTTTGCTGGATGTGTGGATTTAAAAAGGAAACAAACCAAGTCAAATTCTTCTTATCCTGTAGGATTTGCCAGATTTTACTATCCTCATCGATATAGTGAGTTGAATTTGCATCTCAACTAGAATTTGACTTTAGACTTTAACAGTTGTTGAACTAAAATTGAATCTTCTATTTAGCAGAATGCCAAAACAGGTACGCCAACTTTATAATTGAAGGATAAAGTCAAACCAGTAAAGCCTCTTCTTTTTCCTTTTTTAAGTTTTACAAGACTACAAATAAAAAGATCAAAGAGGTTTCAAAGATACTCAAGAATGTCACACTGGGGTGTTATACATTAAAAGACGGTATTGGTTTGGTTTTGGATCTCCTCAACACTTTCCATCTCTAAACATCTGTAAACAACATTTTGGATTTATCCTACCAGTATCTCACAGTATCTCAACAAACAAAACCCTTGTACATTAGTGTGTTTCATGGTTTCAGAACTTTTCTGAAAGTGATGGATTGCAAATAATTCTGATAACCCATTGCAAACATTTAAGTGAATCAAATTTCACCCGTAAGTAAATGCATCTGTGAATTTAAGTAACCCAAACTCATTAAAAGACTGACAATGCTTAATGAAATATGCCAATATTTCCTGTCACCTCATTTCACTAAACTTGAAAATTCACAAAGATGCCAAAAAAACAAAAAGCTTCATGAAACCAATGCATACTCACTTACCATTTTCTGAAGCTACTCCGTATGAGCACACTCTTCAAATCATTCATAATGTACTGTATTTCCAACATTCAGTTCTTTTTTTGATTCATGTTTCATTCATAACTTTTTGTACTGTAAGAATCAATGTAATTACTGGCAAAATGGAAACCCAGTGAAAAGCTGAAATCTGGTGCCAGGGAGTGAGTTCTGGTGCCTGGGGAGAGCTCTGTAAGGGTTTTGGGTGGTTTGATGAGGGCTTATCTATGTCTTCTCCCACAGCTTAAGAGCAACCACATCGATCCACCACCATTCCAGGGATCTTTCCGTGAATAATCTGCTGCTTGTCATTGAAATAAAGCATGTTAATAGGGGACATCTTGGTTGGAGTACAGCAGGGCCCTGCAGAGCCTCGAGGGTTGGCATGCTGCACCAGGTGGGTGTGTGGATATTTTTGCATGAACATGTATTCGCACTGGCCAGAGCAGTAATTAGCTTTGTAGCGTTTGGGGGCAATGATCCAGTCCCAACCAAATGCCTCAAAGTCCACAGTGAGAGGGTAGCGGCAGCAGCGAGACTCAGTGGAATGCTCATCACAGTCTAAACCAAGGTTTCTCCGAGAGCGTTTGGTTGTCTCAAGAACCTTCACTTCCAGGAACGGCTGCTGGAATCAGGGGGAGAAGAGGCATAACAAAAAGAAAGAGGTGGTTATATGAGAACTACAGCACAGACATAACAGCAAAATACATTTTTGTGAAAGAAATAGACAGCGTTATGCCAAACCTAGAAATTCCATACATAGAAAATACACAAGGGATGGATTATTAAATGCAGTCTGGATTGACATCTGACAAAAACATCCCGGTAAAAGATAAATACTCCAAACTTCTATCTGCTGTCTCAGCATACCAGAATGTAATGGAAATAGTAGTGGTTAATAGAAATGCACATAGCTTAAAGGCTCTCTGTGGAACCATTTTTTTCTTTGCCCTTTCATGGAAGCTGTAGGACGATAGTAAGCCAACACAACCTTCAAAATCCACGTGCACTTTCCACAGAAATTTCTTTGTTTTGGAGGAATAATAACATCTTAACAGAAAACAGTGACAGGCGCTTACAAACAACAGCTCCACATAAGAGACATCCCTTCATGGTAACTTAACCCTAACTCTAACCATTACACCCTAAATTTAACTAATAAACTTCTAATACTGGCTCAGTACCTATTGAAAAACCTCCTGATCCCTATATACCAGTGAGCAGTCCTGTCCAACATATCTGTGGAGTCCTCAGGTGGATATATCAGCGTTCAATAAATTTCAACATGAAGAATATTGGTCTTGAATACCGTCCTATGCACTGCTGCTAAACTTTTAATGATAAAGTCTGCAACACAACACTTAATTTTAAATATATAAAATCTTATATATATATATATAAGACTGAATGAAACATTTGAGCATGGCTTGCCATCCAGTGCACAAGTATAGAGTACAACCCCCCAACAAGCAACGCTGGTATAAACATTTCAAATTCTGGACGAATGTCATTGTCAAGATTGTCATTCAACAAACCACAAAACCATGTGAGAGATACAATGCAGGGTTTCAGTGATGTGCCTCTGTGAGTTTAAAGATCAGGACTGACATATGCTGAGCCAGTAACACAACAATGCATCACTAAAACACTCCTAGCCACTTCCTGATTTTGGTTCAATTAGAGATAATCAGGTTATAGGCTAAAATGCACTCTTTTGTAACCTATCCATCCTCTTCAAGCATACCCTTTTAGTATAAGGCTTGTACCAACTGCCATGGTTACATGGACACAAATTAATCCACAAAGAAACTTGTTAAATTCCAGGTTGCCTTTAGATTGTAAAATAACTTGGTTAATGGGTTATTAAATTCATGTGGATTAAGGCTCAAAGAAATGACAGTCTTCAATGTATCATGCGTAAATATCAACATAAAAAGAAAAAAAGTCTAGATAAAATCAGTTAAAAAGATGTAAACAAGTATACAAATGTACATATCTCATCCGCTGAAAGGGCTTTCAACTTTTAAATACAGAGCATTCACACAACTCTGAGACTGACTATATCATGTATACAGTCATCTATCCAGCCATTTCAGAAGCATAATGATTATTTACATCCTTTCCGACAACTTCCACAAAAAAAATATAGAAGTTTAAAAGTGGTTAAGTTTCATGTTAAATTTACATATCATTAAAAACTCATGAATTTAATCTTTCCATGCAAACTAAAAAAAGGCAATTTAGTGGGTCCACAGCTGCTTAAAATCTAGCACCCTATCACATTGCCACAATGTAACTTGATTCAATGCCCATTGAAGAGTTTTTTTCTAACTAATGACTGCCTGTGTATGCTTGGTTTGATCCCTGACCTGGGAGGTCATCTGCAGGCTACCATAACCTTGACCTTTGGGTGCAGCAACCACATCAAATATTTTACTTCAGTGTGTTTGTTTTACAAAGCCTTGTTCTCCCTACGGTGATTCCAGCTGGGCTGCAGCACAGTTTTTGTTACGCTTTCAAAAGAGGAAATAAGTTGAAGGGATGAGGCCATGTCGGTTGGCCTTTAGGGTCTTTAACGTAGAAAAAAGATAGACGGGATCAAGGAGAGGCTGAGCCTGCCTCTTCCCTGCTTTTTGTGTTTTTGTTTTATTTTTGTACACTTGAATGTGTTTGGAATCTTTTCCTTGTTTCCACTCAAGAATAATATTGCTCACTGCTGTGTGGTCAGAGTGCAACAATTTATTGGCCAAGACACCAGAGCTGACCTCTGGTGTGTTGTGAAGATCTGACCCAAATAACCACTTGGTAAATATTTGGTGTTGCTTAACTCTGGTAAGTGGCCTACATAATTCAACAAAGATGGTGTATCTAGCTGTCAACCACAGTAACTCTAACTAAATTAATGACTCACCAAGGCTTTTGCTTTAAAACTGAAGTTTAAACTCATCCAAACAGACCCCTATGTGGCACTAAAACCTGACATTTACTACTAAGAATAGAATCTAAGTAAAAACAAAGACCACTACAAATCCTATTACTGTGTGTTATGCAAACTTGCAGGTTTGCAACCTATCATTTAGCTTTATGAAAGATTGAAAATTTATTTTCTTTCCGTATAGGCTACAGAAAAAAGAGCCAAGCCCTTAAAAAGTAAACCACAAACAGCAAACAAAAAAAGAACAAAACCAACAAACAAAATAAATCCGACTTTCAACCATATGCACACTGTTTTCAGTGTATAAACTCCAATCAAGCCGTCTATGATGTATTCAACTAAACACAAATCAACCATTTTCCCACAATGTGTAGTTTAAAAATACAAGCTTTCCAAAAATGAACTGCACATGGCTTTCTGACTGCAAAAGACTTCAAAATCACTCCTCTGTTGAACTGTTTCACAAACTATTGTACAATCCAGAAGTCTGTATGAAAAAACAACATTTTATAAACAATGTACTGCTATTGGAATAGCTGTTTATATCTCATCAACTGAAAATTTGTTTTAGAATTTTGCCAAAGTACATTGCTGAACATGACTGAAAATACTTTTCTTTGCACATTAATGCATAATTGCACCATTTTACTTCAACCAAAACTTTTCCTATATTTAATTTTCACTTTGAAATGAGAAAAACAAGTTGCAGGCACCGTCATATTCTATTAAACATGAAAAAGCGAGATTTAAAACATTTGAGTGAGCTGTGAATCAGGTATGTGGGATCATATCAACATCAACCATTTTTCTTAAGACCACAGAGCCATTATTTCACCAAAAATTTGTCTGAGTAAAATGACTTTTATAGGCTGTCTGTGGAATATGGATTTTATGAAAGTGAGCTATGATAGAAGTGATCCCCCTCCCCAGCCCCAGGGACAGGTCTGAGGATCCTTACCAGCCCCTCCTCCCCGGGTCGCACCGAGGTAACTGCCAGGTCATTGCCGCTCTCATCAAAGGCGCTGATGTCAATTCCCCAGTTGGTGTGGGGCTGCTTGAACCAGTTCTGCAACACATGCTTGAAGTCAATACTTTGCCAGTGGCCAACCCTCGAGTTGAGCTCTATCTTGAGGGAGCGGATGCGGATGTGGCGGCTGCCTTGCTCCGTGACAGGCTTCAGTCGTAGGATCTGCAGGTAGACTGTGGAGGTCTGCTGCAGCGGTCGCAGGTACACCCACAGCTGGGCCTTCAAAACCTTGGTGAACATCAGTTTGGGGCTAAACTTGAAGAAGCAGCAGCTGGGCTTACCATTCACCTGCACGAGGGGCTCCGCTGTGAAACAAAAAAGGAGTCCAATTTATATTTGATCATGCACTATGCATACAATTCATTAAGATCAGCAGAATCTAATTAACATTAATCTCCCCAGAAATAGAGAATGTAGGATCCTTGTCTTTCTTCATATTCAAAATCTTTTCATTGTGTTTAGGTAATGCAATGGCAAAATCATTATTTCATACTCTTTATTGTGCTTATGTAATTAACTGAAACATACATCTTTTAAGAGCTGAAAGAGATTCAGCAAATACACAGTGGAAGTTCAATGACAAGATTCTCAGGTAACAGCAGCCCTAGTTCTAATATCTTGCATAAGGCATGAGTCAGAGTCATATTTCATTGGTCTCAAAACAAAAGATATGCATGTGATTTTCACATCAATGATAAAACCTGTAACTTTGAAGAACTCTGTGGTACATTAAGTGCAACAGCATGAATGAGATAGAAAGGGTTCTGCATATTGTGTAGCTCACCCATTAAATTTGTGATTACCAATAGACATGAGCCTGAATGAGATCATCTGTAATTTACAAAGATATTGCGATCTAAATGACAAAAGAGCTTTTGAGTTTATTTTTACAGCATGGTATTGTATAACAGCAACACTTATTTGCCTCTAAGCCCTGAATTTTCTGGCAGACTGGTGGCCATTCTCCACCCATCTGCAAAGCTGCACATTATTCGCACATGGCCTTGTTGTTTGGTCTATTCAGTTAGGGTACATTTGCGATTACTTTAAGGTTGGAAACAGATCAATTTGCATATTAAAACAAGAATCAGTAATGGTGACCAGTGGACAGATGGTAACCTTACATTCCCCTGGGTCAGTCATAATGAAATGGACTAACCCAACATTACAACTACCAAAATGAAAACATCTCAAGTTTTTTCCAGGCCCTCCACATCCCCCATTGGAAATATATTTGGGGTTTGGATTAAGAATTACATCAGAGAGCACAAACTGTCTCCTGAAATGGGCAGATTTATTCCTGTCATGGTCCATTGCACTGGTGTTTCTGTGATTTGCACACCATGTCAGATCCGCACATGGTTCATTTACATAGACCTCAATCTGATATAATGACATCCATCCGTTGAATTCATACATTCATTTCCATGTAAAGTGTTCATTTATGAAGGGAAATTTATTCTGAAGCTATTCCGTATGATAATGTGCCAACAGAGTACAATAGAATATCTAATCCATCCATTTTCTCTGAGTGAATTTGACATATCAGATTTTACCCAGATGAAGAAAAAAAAAATGCTTGTGTCTGGTTGTGTATCTTGTAAAGGAGTTGTTTTAATCCCTTTTGTAAAAAAAAAAAGGAGGGGAGAAAAAATGCTTGAACCTGTCAATCACCACTAAGCTTGAGGTTGCACAGGCAACCTGCAAATGCTTCCTGGGTCAAAAGGTTATTTGGCACCTCAGCCTAGTGAAGAAATGGGATCAGGGGTCAAAACTGTCAGCTTCTTTACATCTCAGGATGCTGGGGAGGGGCCGCCCTAACAGCCAGATTGAGTTTGAAGGTCAAGGTCGACCCACTGGCAATGATAATACGTCTTTCTGTCTTTTTTTTTTTATTATTATTTTTAGAGGATAACTCCAAACCACAGATACACAACAGTGCAGGATTGGCCAAAGTTTGTTTTTGTTTTGATTAGGGTGGAGAGCCTCCAGCCAATAGTGAATTGTTTATTAGACTCCAGTGACCAGGCGAGAACACTGCGCCGAGTTTTTCTTCACACTAAACAAGTATTGTTATTGAATTATGGGCATGCATTGAGGGATATGAATTCACTGAGGTTCAGATGGACTGTCCATTAGAAGAGTCCAGGGCAAACATTGAATAAGGGCCAAGCTAGGGACAGACATGGTCCTTCAGCCTGTATTTCCAAGCACAGTCATTAGTGAGTGTAAATTATAAAGTGTCTCACGCTGAACAAACAATTTGCCAATGTTCCTTTTAGTAGGTTGCTGAGGTCACAGCAATTAACGTGGGCGGTGTTGTGTTTGCTCATCAGCACAAAACTGGGAATTAATTATTCTGCAGTTTGCTTGGGGTTGTGATTACTACTTTTGGGAACAGGCACGCAGCAGTTCTTCTCTGCCAGCAGTTTCCACCACTTTTGTTGAGTTACCAAAAAAGACAGCAATCGAGCTAACGCCGTGCAACTGAAGTCCTTTAGTTCCATAATCCAAGACCTTTCTCCAGAAGGAGTAACCTGAGAAGCAGAGCCTGTATGCCGGGATCCAATTCAGGAACCCAGTTATTAAACACACCTGCACAGCATATGAGCCACGTCATGTTAAACAATGACTGCATTGATAGGTGAAATCAATTTGTGCCTTTATAGATCCTGTAAATGCACAAGCTCGAGGCAAAGGAGAATGCCTGTAGCTTAATTACACCCCATGTCTTGGCAGAGCGTTCCACTTATACAAAATGAGCGAGGCGAGCTTGTAAAGACCAGAGAACCAGGGGGACATTTAATCCTTCCACCTGTGCTTATTTTTTTTCTAATCACCAGAACATGTTTTTGGGGAAAAGCCAATAATTTTACGACAAGACTTTTTATGGCTTAATTTCCTGGACAATTTGCTCAGTTGTGGCTCTGTGCTTTAATGCTCTCACTTCAGTCCTGCAGCAAAGATATAAAACTCTGATCTTGTGTTCAGCACCACCAGTTGGACTGACAGACACTTCTCTCTCGTGCAACGCTGAAGATGAAAGTACAAAACTTCCTCAGCATGAACATTTTTACTTTGGCTAAAAGTAGAATGATGAATTGACAGTGGTTGCATTTTCCAAAGGAAATGGGTTAGTCTGTTTTTCAAAATTATGTCTGCAGTCTACTTCATGATTGTAGCAGCTTATTTCCCTGTGGTATAATTGCAGCATATGCAGTGCATGCATTTTACTGCCAACACACGGTGGGTCTGCAGGTGGGCCTATCAAACATCTGGTGGACTCCCTGGGTACCTGTGTTCCTTAGTTAGCCTCCTACACATGCATGCAAGGGGAGGCATATAGAATATAAGGGTTTATTCACCATGCCATCTGTCCATTTTCATATGATAGCCAATTTAAATGCTTTTAGCAGTAATGCCGATGAGGCGATGAGGAGGACTAAGCTAGTTAAACTGTTGAAAACAGATGTATGGGGGAAGCTGAAATGTAGTTATACAGTGAATAAGTAAAACAGTGCCTTAAAAATTCACACAACTGCAAAATCAAAAAGCCTAATAAATAAGGAATAAAGAGTATAGAAAATTCGCAAAGCTTTCCTTAATATCTTCTTGCTATAAACTACTGCTGAAGAGGCATCTTGCCATATTGACAACGATGATAATTGCTCAACTCAATGATTAGAACAGAATAAGATTAAAAATAAACTGCCAAAGTAATTATTTGATACATTCTTATGGAAATTATTGATTTACATATCCTTTGTTAAATATCATTAAAAAAAAGCATAAACAATGTGGATGATAAAATTGACTTCACAGTGAGCAAGATTTATATTATACACACACACACACACATATATATATATATAT